TTTCGAGCATAAGTTAGGTCAAAAATTTGGCCACCCCTGGACTAAATAACTTGATGATGGAGATTGAAATTCAACCAATCGCAGCTTGAATTTGAATCGCGTTTTGAGCTATAAATTGTAGGTAATTTCATCGGTTCTGTAAGACCTACTATGACGATATCACTTTAACGAGAACCAGTATACCTAAGTGTAGCATTTCTCTTCTGTTTGACAGCCCTGTGATCTTAAGTTCTAGCAGTAAACAAATTGAGTTCCGCAACTTTGGTCACTGATGTTGGCGCAAAAATATGTTCTAAATAAATAATCTAACTTGGTGGAATTCAATCAAAGTTATTTAAGACATAGGCTTTTGGCAAATGTTATCAGATCGGGCAGGCGTTTTATCGTACTACAAAAAGTATGCTAATCTTAAAAGTATTCGAAACCAGCTATAAATCCACATAATAATAATAGGTAGGCCTACCTACTGTACTAATACCTACATAATAATGTTAGTACGAAAGTTGCTGTGTGTCACAGTTCATTCTTACATCTTAAATGCGAAAGTGTCTTGCGTTTTCACGTCTAAACCGCTGAAGTAACTGATTAGAGACAGAAAAAATTTAAAATATTCCAGGATCTCCTGAAAGTATGAGGAAACCATAATATCTACCTAACCTACCTCATAATACTCATTTTAATATTCTGTTAATTTGGTAATACTATCAAGTTCTTTTTATTGCAGACTAAATTTAGGTAGATAATATTCTTACGATCAAAATAAAACTACAGTCGCACAAAGTTATTTCACACACGATCCGCATTGCTTCAAAAAATCCTAATCAGCTGAGAAGATAATAGAATATGCTAGCAAATTACAACAAAGAAAGCTCAAGGCTCTTGTATGTAAAGACGCTAGCATTTCTGTCTCTTCTGTGTAATAATTAGCTACGGACTACACTTTAGTCTTTATTGGATTACCGAGTACGTATCGCCCATACATAAGCAGTTTACACACAAAGGACGCAGTGTGATACTACATAATGTCATGTAACCTACTTACATTGTTTTTTTAAACCATGAAGACTTGTAAAAAAAATATTAGTTAGATAAATTAGGATCAGTTGCCTAATTCCAAAAAAAATCCCGTTGTAGCGTGATGGTATTAGCCTTCCAATCCAATTCCAAGTAGGTACCTATCCATCCAACACAAAAATAATATTTTTTCAAGTCGGACACCTAAGATTAGCGTGTAAAACAAACAAACCTTCAGCTGATAATATAGGTACTACGAGGAGAATATAATCAAGTAGATTCGTACCTACTTGACTGTCATTTCATAATCATAATACAAGTTCTCGTTTTAGTCTTATTAGTTTTTACAAGCTTTAGTTAGCTAGAAAGTAGGAATAAATATTTTATTGAATACTGAAAAACGAAGTGTGCAAAGCTAGTTCACATTATAATCTTTATTACCTAGGTCTGTTATGCAACTGCAGCTCCCTATAAGGTTACACTAGGCTAGGTAGGTAGGTACGTTGAATAACGCTAAAATGGACATTTTTTCTGTTCATCATGCCGTAAGATGGACTGACTAGTAGCCTATCTGGTTTGATAACAGAAGGACTAAAAGGGTTTTTCTATTCCTCTGCTGGGCTTTCAAGTTAGCGATATTGTTATCTGTTTGTGTGATTTAAAGCCTTCTGTCAGACTTATTTGCTTTTCATACATAGACATAGTGCATAAAGTGTCGCCTAAAATACGGAATCATCTTCCATGGGATATGAGGCAGATTAAAAGTTGTATGTCTCAACTCAATCTAAACGTCAACAATTACAAAATAATAATTTATTAACCTTCAAACCGAGTAATCCTTCAATTACATAAGTGGCCCGCCTAGGAACCAAACCTAGGACCTCCGGATCGACAGATCCCTTTAAATATTTTCTATCTAGGTAGCCCACTAGAAACTAGACCAGACCAGAACATAGATTAGGATCCTACTTAGCGAACATAACACGATTAAAATGAAATTACTAAAAAACGGACCAGATTAAACGTTAATTTTTTTTATTTAAATTCCCAGATTCCAGTCTTTAAATAGACTTCGGACGCAGGTTGGCCGTAGTAAGGACAATCTGGCCAGGTGGGGATTCTTGGATGGCTTGAGCATGGAGTGCAGGTGCGGTTTTGTTCCCCAGTCGATGAGGCACCTGATGTCATGCCCTGAGTGCCCAAGCAACTGCACTCAGGAGGATTTGATGAGTGCTACTGACAACGCCACTCTTGTGGCGGAGTTTTGGGCTGACACTGTGTAGGTTTGTTGTCGACACGAAAAGAAGAAGAAGAATTCCCAGATTCGAAATTAAGTTGCAGTAATAATTGCAGGTTTTTATCAACTTGGTTGTCGGAAAACAAAAATATTCCATGCTACGGAGCAGGTTATGCAACTAGTAGGAACAAGCCACACGACACGGCCACCAAAACATGATCCTTTTCTACAGTAAGGTAAGATCAGGCAAAAATAAGTTAACACTCAAAACAGTTAAAATGTGGGTAGTTAGTTATGCTTCAACTTTAATACCTACTTATTTACATGCATAATTTAGCAGCAGGTGCATAGGTCATTCATATGAACAAACAGACCTAAAAAATCTTTAAAATAATCAAGTGCCAATTTATGATAGAGATTCTTTTTTTGTAACCTACCTACTTGTTACCTACCTACATAGGTACATTCTACGTCTGTTAATATTCAAAGAGTTCGTGGATTATCCTACTTGATTGAAATATTAAAGTTTATTATTGAATAAAACGAATTCTATACCTATCTTACTTACTCCTGATACGACACACATGTATGGCGAAGTTACCGTTAAATGATATCAGCGATCCGCAAACAAGAAAAACGTAAAATAGGTAAAAAAACAAACCTGATCTGATGCTCGACTACCTCCAAATCGCGAGCGATTAACAGCAGTCCAATAGGTCCAATTATGAACCGATTCGATGCAAATTAATACAACAGAGCACTCATAAACCATCCAACATTTGCCAAACACAAAACTGAGCAAATCTACGAGCCAACTTTTCGTTGGTGTCCGACAGAAATTGCAACACAACTTTTTTACACAATGGAACTTCGAGAAATTTCACACTGAAAGTCGTAATTTGTTGTTTTTACACTATAGTAAACTTATATTTGTTGATATTCACACTTCAGGAACGGGTTACTTATGTTTTTGTTCGCGATCGTTTCGGCACAGCGGTCGCAACGGTACGTGCGGCCCGCGAGACGCCTATAACTGGACTGGTGTAAAAATGGCGCTGGTTCGAGCTCGCGCTGGCATTGCGACTTGCCGTAGCGAGCAAACCTCCCGCGACCGGTCAAAGATCATGCGTTAAAAATTACAGGTAACACAGGGTAATTAAAGCTTTTAAAGAAGAAATGAAATTAATAAAGAACTTAATAGATAAGTTGCATTGTTGACCGACCTACCCACTTGTTGAAGACACGCTCAAGGGTCTTCTATGTGGATTCTTCGTGTTGTGGGTAGGTAGTTTCGTTCTTTTTAGATAAATGATGTCCTCAACTGGTTAAAGTTTTGCAGACTTGTGTGTGTGAAATGGCTTTATTATAATATTAAAATCCTATGAACTTATCTAACTAAGCTAGGCAGGGACGGATCGTGAATTTGTGGGGCCCTGGGCTGAAACTTCTTATGACGTTGTCACGTAAAAATATCGTCCGTAAACCAACTTCACACTTTTTTTTTATTTTATTTATGGCCTACTTTTTAGCGGGATCTGGGGGCCCCTTGTAACCCCGGGGCCCTGGGCTGCAGCCCAATCAGCCCATAGGTAGATCCGGCCCTGAAGCTAGGCTTGGCTCGCCGCTCGGTAAGCTAAAGTAGGTAAGGTAAACTACCTACCTACCTGGCTATGTAGGTATTTTCCCACCGAAATCAGCGCTCTGCGGATCACTTGTTGAAGCAGGGGTTCAGAATGGTCAGATCTTGATTACTTGCCGTACTTTTTATTAGAAAAGGCATTTTTCTTAAATGTAACCTGCGTAACGGTCACACACGGTCTATAAAATCCATACGCGACTTACGTGCTAATGATAATATAGGTAGTAACTAGCTGTGCCCGCGACTTCGTACGCGTGAAAACCCGTTTCAACATTTTTCATTTTCGCTCTGCACCTATTACTCGTAGCGTGATGGTATATAGCCTATAGCCTTCTTCAATAAATGGGCTATCTAACACTGAAATTTTTTTTCAAATCGGACCGGTAGTTCCTGGGATTAGCGCGTTCAAGTAAACAAACAAACTCTTCAGCTTTATAATATTAGTATAGATTTATTAAAAGCTTTGCCTAAAGCTTTCTTTACCTTGCCTATCTATTAGATAACTAATCTATGATCGTGGTACTGTGCAGCGTAGCGCTGCTTTGCGAGAAAACCGGTTTCAAAAATAATAGTAAAAATTGATAAAGCTGCAAAACTTTAGTACCCGCATAAACGTAAAAGCCGACGTTAAAACGACCCGCTTTGGCTGAACGTCAAATACTTTACAATACTACCCACTTCGACGGTTTAATCCATTTTATGTAGATACCGCCCGATTTCATTAAATTACGCCTCGCTCGCTGCAAACGTTACGCAAAATTAATTTTCACAGATCGTTTTCGAACTTTGGAAGTAGAGTTTTCAGTTTGTTAGGCTTTTCTTTAGGGAATTTGAGTTCAGCAGTATTTATCAGCTCATGAGGGTCTTTACCTTACCCATATGCCTTCTACTTACTCCCTAGCTAGGTCTTGTGAAAAGACTAAATACTGCTGCTTTATTTCCAATTAGATATTAACTATTTAAGTTGTTTTAATTGAACTAATAAGAACAAGTAGGTATTTCCAATAATAAGAATTTAAAGAGATAGGTATAATCCGCAATAAAATACAGAAACAATTTTAAATACATACTGTATTTATTAATACTTAAATATTCTTCATACATACAAATGACTATTTAGTAAAGGGCATAGTTACAAAACAAGCAGGAATCTGGTTAGGGTTTATATTCTGATCTAAGTTTTGCTTAAGCAAAACCATCCTTTGTATAATAATTAGAATTATGGAGAAAAGCCACTCCAGTTACTCTGAGCAACAATATACAGTTTTAATGCTACTGCAACGGTGTGCAATAGAAATTAATACAGTATGCAGTAATATACCTTGTCATTGGTAGATGGTCAATGGGCATATTTTATTTTTCACTTGTCATTTTATACCCACTTTTAACCCTTAATTACTCGCATAAAGAATCTTACATAACTGCTCGCATGGGGTCACAGATGACCCCAAATTGTGTGAGTAGTTTTTAATACATACTGAAATTTATAAGTAAATGAAACTATATTATAATAAAAATGCTTTATTTATTCTTTAATATCTATGGGTAATAACATGAATTTCTTACTAATTATACAAAAACAAGCTAAATTAAAATAATTGTCAATAATTAACAAATTGTACTTAGGTATACTGAGATCAAAGGTAATACTAGTATTTTTTTAGGAACTCTCCGAATCATTCTTGTTACACTGTTGACAGTATATTTCAGAGTGATCATTGCACACAAATCTTGTACATTTCTTGCATTTTCGATTCTCTTGATTGTGCGGAGGATTGCTCGATCTCATTACCGCTATCATGATCACTTTTTGTTATTTCATCTAACTCTGGCTCAGAACTCTACCCTCCAACTTCTTCTTCATCAGAAACATCTTCCAACCATTGCACAATTTGCTATTTTTTCCTATCTCTACTAACTCTGAAAAAAAAAAACGACAAAGTAGTAGTAAAACTGAATTTATCAATATTTTTATTGTTTAGAGCTGTAAAAACACATTTATAACAAACATTTATTCACTGAATATACAATAACACAAATATTATTCGTAATACACAAAATAAATACAAAAAACAAAAAACTTACCTCTTCCAAAAAAGTTACGTAATTACTCGCATGGGGTCACCACTCAAGAGCGCAGCGACGCATCCTTCCACTCCCGTGAATTAGTCGCTATCAAAATACAAACTAAGACGTGTTTTATGAAGCTACTGGGGGCGCGGAGGAAATCGGGCCGCGCCAAGTGCTTCATTTTTGAATCCGAAAATGCTTTGACCCCATGCGACTAATTAAGGGTTAATAGTGGTCAGGATGGGAGCAACATCAACTTCTATGAAGACTTTTTCATTTTCATCCGATGGATTCATTGGTGGTTTTTCTTTCTTAACAATAAAATTATTCATGTTAGAAAATAGGAAATTATGCTTGGCTCTTACATGCTTATTTCGTGAGTCCCTTCTAGCATATTTGAGCTGGCAATATGGACATTCATATTTTTTAAATAAATGCCGCTTCTGATGCTGGAGCAATTCGTCTGCGTTTGCAACAAACATACCACATACAAGACATGGTATTCTGTCAGCTGTATGACGAGCTTTATGCTTTTTAAGAGTCTCAGATCTGTATGTAGTGTAACCACAGATTTCACACTTATAAATATGTTGCCCTTTTTGATGTATCGTTCGTCTGTGATTGCATAAATCTGATAGTGTATAAAAAGGACTCGCACAAGTCTCACATGTGAACATCTTGACACCAGTATGACGTTGCAAGTGATTGACCAAAATCTTTTTATTGGATAGAACCTTTTTACAAATGTCACACTGCACTTGCTTATCTGTGTGCGTTTTTAAGTGTAGGTATATACGATTGCGACCACGAAGAAACTTTCCACAATACTGACAGGTGATTTCTTTTAAGTATAATTTGTGTGTAGTTTCTTTATGGCTTTGTAGTGATCCTTGTTGGGTAAATCTCTTTTGGCACAGGTCACATTGGAATGGTCTATCTCCATTGTGCGTCACTAAATGAGTCTGGATATCTTTTATTCGACGGGATTTGTATGCACAATCTTTACAATGAAATACTCTTTGTTTCCCAATACCCTCAACCGTCACTTTTTTTGCAATAAGACAAGATCTATTATTGCTTTTAACATGTCTTACATAAGCTTTGGTAGACTTGAAGGCACGCTTGCATGTTTCACACACTAATTTGTCCAAGAGATGAACACGTTTCCAGTGAACTTTTAACTTACATTTACTTTTGAAGAATTCACCGCAGTCGTGACATTCAAATTGAGTTTCTTTATTTGGTTTCACATTTAATGTTTCTACTTGAGTTTCTTGTTTACCTATTTGATCAAGATCCAAACCGAAGTCAACGTCAGTGTCCAGATATTCAACCTCAAAGTCTTTATCATCAACATAGTCATCAGGTTCCTCTTTTTTAATCTGTTCCAATTTCATATCAATTGAGAATTCTGTTAGCTGCGTAATTTGGTTTCCTGGAAGAGTACCCAGCAAAATGATATTTGAATTCTCACATTTGGCTTTGAAAGTGACCGCTGTGTCCAACTCCAAAAGGCAATCTGGGCATATCTCGCTGGGCAAACCGTCGTTCTGTTTTATCACAACATTTGCGATGGAGCTTATATTGTCACAAATGAGAGCATCCTTGTGTCTTTCGAAGAGCGATATACATTTTTTGCGGATCTTGATGTCGGAGCGTAAACACACGCGACAGATAATTGTTTTGTCACCTTTGGACATGGTTCGACGTCTCGTAAATGTTCTCAAAATGATTAACTAATCTATTAGTAAGTATAGATTACCAGTACGCACTCCTTTTCGTGTTTTTAAATTAATTAATCGTTGTTATTTTGTTGTCCGATTCCAGTGTTGACTTTGCGGAGTTCGATTTTTTTTTTCTTGACAGTTTGATGACATTGACAGTGACACTTGACGTTATTTGTTTTTAGGGTTCCGTAGCCAAAATGGCAAAAACGGAACCCTTATAGTTTCGTCATGTCCGTCTGTCCGTCTGTCCGTCTGTCCGTCTGTCCGTCTGTCCGTCTGTCCGTCTGTCACAGCCGATTTACTCGGAAACTATAAGTACTACAGTGATGAAATTTGATGGGAATATGTGTTGTATGAACCGCTACAAAATTATGACACTAAATAGTAAAAAAAAGAATTGGGGGTGGGGCCCCCCATACATGTAACTGAGGGATGAAAATTTTTTTTCGATGTACATACCCGTGTGGGGTATCAATGGAAAGGTCTTTTAAAATGATATAAAGTTTTCTAAAAAACATTTTTCTTAAAGTGAACGGTTTTTGAGATATCAGCTCTCAAAGTCGTAAAAAGTATGTCCCCCCCCCTCTATTTTTATAACTACGGGGTATAAAATTCTAAAAAAAAATAGAGGTGATGCATGCTAATTAACTCTTTCAACGATTTTTGGTTTGATCAAAGTATCTCTTATAGTTTTTGAGATAGGTTGATTAAATTGACATAATAAGTTTATTATATTTGCTGCTACGGAACCCTTTGTGCGCGAGCCCGACTCGCACTTGGCCGGTTTTTATTAATGTTTTAATAATAAAGCAATGGACGAACTTAATAGAAATCATTTGGATCATGTTTGGATTATTTCATTTTTATACTTCATTTTGATTCATCTCGATTATATCTGTGCGATTAACGGAAAAAAAGTACTATTTTTTATTCAGAAAATATGGATTATGGCTGTATAGCTTATTGCCTCTGCCTTTTCCTAATTTTTTATAGGAAAAAATAAATCATATCAATTAATCAACGTCAAAAAACGTGCGTCAAACAAACGTCAGTTTTTTAGTGAACAAGTTGTTCTCATAGAAGCTTTGTGAATTGTTTTTAGCTTTAAAAATATGATTAAAATATTAATTACTATTTAAAAAGTCTTACTACTAAGCAATGGGAAGAAAAGCATACACAACATGTCGTATTTGTTTGCGTTTCGGAAGCAAAATAGGAAGAAATTGTAAGTCACTTTTTGAGATCCACAACAACTCACTTATTTCAGACGCTATAACATTGATTGCGAATGTAAAAATAAAGGAAGATGATGGATTACCCAGTAAAATATGTAAAGATTGTCTTAAGGAGCTTGAATCTGCAATCAGTTTTAAACTTAAATGTGAGAGATCCAACGAAATACTTCATTCTACAGACAAAAAAGAAGTGAAATCTGATAATTCTACAATAGTGGTTGAATATCCAGATCCCGCTAACGTTGTGAAAAAGGAAGACGAGTCTTCGGACAACGTACAGTATGAGGAAGTTGAGTATTATGATGATGCTGTATTTGAAGACTTTGAAACTAAACCAGACATAGACAGGGAAGGCACTGATATTCCAGAAGTTAAGCCTGAGACGAAGGTTGAAAAATCAGAAGCTGATCTGACTACAAATGAGACAAATGAACCACCACCTAAAAAAAGCAAGGCCATAGACCTGAAGTTAGAATGCCACGACTGTGGCGGATCATTCAAGAGCAAATGTAAACTTCGTGTGCACTGGAAAAAAGTGCATCTAGCAGAAAAATTGATTTGTAATTTCTGTAAACGAACATTCAAAGCTTTCATTCCATATAACAAACATTTGAAAAAAAGGCCATTGAACTGTCTGCTGGCTAGTAAAACCAGAATTGAAGGTGTAGGAAAATCTAGAGTGTTCTTTTGTAAATTCTGCCACTACGAGACTAAGAGGGTTCATGAATTTGATAACCATTTGAATATTCACACAGGAGCCCGTCCATACTATTGCAGTCTGTGTTCCAAAGGCTTTTCACAACGCAGTTCACTCGATAGTCACAATGAAGAGATTCATAAAATTATAAAGAAACAAATAACTTGTCAATATTGCGGTGAGGTAGTAATTGGTCGCCGCAAGGTAACAAAACATTTACAGATGCACACTCGAAGTCCACTCCAATGTGATATTTGTAAGAAAATGTACAAATCCAAGGGAACTCTGATAGAACATTTAAAACACCATTCCGATGTAAAACCTTTCACATGTGAAAAATGTGCTGCCAGTTTCTACTCCCAGGTATCTTTGTATGCGCACATTAAAAGAGTTCATAGGAATATTAAACCGGAATTTAAATGTCCTACTTGTGGTTACAAGTGTTCTAGAAATGTTACGTTAAAAAAACACATTGTTAAACACGCAACCTTTATTCATGGTTGTAACATCTGCGGTAGGTTTTACGATAACTCTGATGATCTTGCATCACACCAAAAACTTCATACAAAGGAGAAGTCCATTTGTTTTCAGTGTAATAGGATATTCTGTAATGAAAAGTCGTTGAAACGACACAAAAGAGAAACTCATAAGCATAAGAAAAATACTTTGGCAGAGAAAGTTGTGGTGGTAAAAAAAGACCCAAAACGACTTGTAGAATTCAAAGATGAAGTGGTAGAGGTGGAAATATTGCCCTATTTCCAACCTTAGTACATAATGTACATTAAGAGTAGAATAATGTTAAGGTAATCATAGAGTTTCTTCTGTTGATCATGCAAGCAAGCAATTTTCACATTATTATTTGTCTAATTTAAAGTAAATTCTTTCGAATTCGTTGATTAAATAAATTAATGTAAGATTAGCAAATAAAGTTTTAAGAAAGTTTAAAAATGGTTTGTATTTGAATGTACAGTCAGGGTCAAATAGTTTGTGACACCCAAAATAACTAAAAAGTTCGCAACACGTCATAATGTTCACTTTAGGTGTCACGAACTATTTGACGCTAAACTGTACTTACCTAATTTATATTTACTCAAGTTTGTTAATTTAATTTTGTTTGTACATTATAATGAAGCGTATTAATGTAACTTAATTAGAGGGAAGAAGGGCTGAGGGCGCGGGTTTCATTACGCCATTTCGTTGGGACTGGGACACATTTCTGACCAAAGGAAAATAAGTTTAAAACAGTATTCTCCAATATTTTTTTTCTTATCATTACATTGCAATTAAACGCTTTTTAAAATAAATACTTAGTTATTTATTTTTTGTAATCATTATTATTCCCTATAATACATATCACGTTCGTGTTAATAGGTATTTCATGGAATTCATATATTTCACAAACTTACAATGTTTTATTTATTATCTAATAACTTAAAATTAAAAAATACCTACAACAGATCCTATTTAAGACTAGTCAAATCATTTATACCCAAGATCTCGTTCAACGACACAAAAGAAATACTTCGATAGTTTGTTATTCAATAGATAGAGTAACATGGAGTACAGTTCTTGTGAAAAATGCTACTGACTTTAGGTTGCATAGGTAGTACTGTGAGGTCACTAAAAAATAGCTGTCAAAACAATACAATAGGTCAGTTGTCTGCATAAATTAGGTATTAGAAGAATTAGAAATAGGTATAGATATCCAACAGAACAAATCAAAAGAAAACATTCGATTGTAAGATAGGTACACGTTTTCAATAAAATTGCACAGCTACCTGCATATAAGTAATATGTGCAACAACACCGATTTTATAACAGTTTTTCAAAGTCAAGTCTAGGTACTTCCCAAAACTTAGGGACCAAAGAATTTCTCCGAAAATTTTATAATACAGTAGAACGCCGATTAACCGAATTGCCAATTATCCGAATCGGTCCTAAGCGTAATATAAAAAATAAAACCAAGTAATTTTTGATTTGTTTTTTTGGAACTGAGATATATTTCAACTGAGCGTTATTGTAGCAGTTCTACAATAACGCTCAGTAGAAATATCTCTGTTTTTTAAACTCATTAAAGTTTATTCTATGTATGTGTGACAGTTCGTTTTTCTCTATTACCAGTCTATGTCCGATTATCCGAATTTTCGATTATCCGAATCGACCCCGGTCCCAATTAATTCGGATAATCGGCGTTCTACTGTACCTACTTAGTTCACTATAAACCAGTAAGATGAAACTAGATATAGGTACTACAAAGGTATGTTTTCATAATACTTGATACAACTGTGTCTTCTACATTTCAGTTAAAATACACATACTTCATTATGGCGTCTTATTGTACTTATGAACATTGTATGGTCGATTAGTACAGATCTACCTTATTATACACGTAGACATTTTATAAAACAGTATAATTTTTCATACTAGACAGACATTTTAGATAGTTACTTTACAACAATATTGATTCCACATTAAATTAATGTTAGGAATATAAATTCCATTTGACTATACTGTTAACTCTGATTAAATAACAAATTATTGTTGTCTTAAAAAGAAGATTTTACAAGAATGTGGCAGCCAGCAGCCTTGTTAATTCGTCCAAGCCAGCAGCACTGCAGAAAGGTAAGAGGTAGATAAACATTTTGTAGTAAAATCGCATTTATAAACTAGGTAGGTACCTACTAAGGTGCCACAATGTTGCGTAGTCTCAAATCTGTACTGTAAACCCCTTTCAAGTCGTAATACAAAATAAAAATCAACCGATTTTTTGTCCTAAAAGTCAATATCATCGAAGTAAGTTTTTGTCCATGCATTTAATTAAAATTAAAGTCAATTTAAATAATTTAGCAATGACACAGTTTCATAATTTATTTGCGATGAAATTAATATTTTATTAGAGTTATTTGTTATAATCTTTATTTAAAACTCAAGAATTTAAAAGAGGTGAACTTAAGGCCTTATTATTGGGCCTGGATACTACAAGAGACCGCGGGAGAATGAGTATTTGGAAGTAAATTAGTACCTATTATTTTTGTCAAACACCTAAAAATCCTAAAATCGTAGTCATTTTACGCAGTTAAATCCGTGATAAAATATAGTTTTCTAAAAATATCTTTCCTCTGGCTGAAAAATACGATATTATGGCTTTTTAACATATTACAGACAAACAGTTACGTTTCAGATTAACTTTCATACATGGCAATCTCACATTAAAATAATGATATAAACAGTTAAATGTAATGTAAACTTACAATCGCAACCATAGCATTGACAACAGAACCACCCATTTATTTGAATATAAAGAAACTAAAATACCCCAGTCCTTTAAAATTACAGCTTTGAACTTCTTTGACATAAAAATTACATTACTTTTATTTACCCGAGACTAGTATTCAGGCGAAATTAATTTTGAAAACAATGGAAATAAGAAAAACTGTTATAGCCTTATTTTGGGATATGCGTTAGTAAGACAGCTTTTGTACTTTTTATAACTAATAATAATAAAAAATATTTTTAACATTGGCAACACCAAGGACTGGGGGTCAATTCTGTCAGCAGACCATATCGCGGGCAGCATGAATTGGAATATCCTACCTAACTAATATTGTGTTTAGATTCAATCCGGGGGCTCCTGGTGAGAGCAGTGCGGTACCGGGGTAGGGGAAGACTTGAAGGCTCTCGGGAACAGCGAGGAGTAGGAAGGAGGTGGTTCGTACTCGGGGGGAGTGGAGGGAAGGGAGGAAGTAAACATCTGTTGTGAGGCAGCTGTCACGGTGACAGTTGGCGAGAGGTCAATGCACGATGGAGGGATGTTCAACGGCGTGTCAGAAGGCTTGGAGCGTTTGCAGCAGCATTCTGGAATCGGAAAAGATAGTTTTTATTGCACAGTCATTACGTTACATACAGTGTTGCCAGTCGGGTCTAGTCAGAAATTACCAGAGATATATATGATTGTGTAAGGTTGTTCATGGATGGAAAATGAATACAATTGATCATCTAAATACGAAAAGTGACCAGTCGTATAAAAACGTTTCATGGATTTGCGTTTTATTATCGAAAAAAATTCGCTAAAACTCATTTTTTTCAACACATAATAAATCAAATTCAAGTTTAAATGCACTTTATGACATAATTTTTAAATTGTCACTATTAATATTTTTTACTGAATAACCTGTAAAGTTAATTCTACAATTTCTGAAAAATCACCTAAAAGTAACCTTTTCATTAGTGTAACCTAAAAGTAACCACAGAAGTTCAAAAGTAACCAAAAAGGTTACAAAAGTAACCTTCTGGCAACACTGTTTACATATGTTTGTTGGAAAATAACACGTATTACAACTACATAAGATGTCATTATGCTGTCGTTCGTGTAGCACACAAAATCTGGCAATTATTACAAACACTTTTCTGGGTCGGCACAATTTAGATTGAATGGGTCTTTCGCTAGGAATGTCCTAGCAAGATATTTCGTAGTAATATACGAACTCTTCCAGCCCGGGGAAGAGACTAATCTGTGGTAGTTATTTGGACTAGTTGTGACCATTATTTTGGTCTTTTGCCAAACGACTTCGTTCCGGATTTTATATAGGTATCCACGTCATCGATCTTTTCGTACCTAATATCCCTACTAATATTATAAATGCGAACGAAAGTCTGCAGGCGATACAGGACCGGTCATTGTGAAAATCCTTGGGGAAGGCCTTTGTACAGCATTGGACGTCATTTGGCTGAAACGAACGAACGAAAGTAACTCTACATATTACGCTTTCTAGCCTAAACCACTGAAATAATTTTTATGAAATTTAGTTCCCGGGATAATATAGGATAGTTTTTACCCGGTTTTTAAAACAAGGAAGCGATAAAGTTTTTATATGGCAGATAAAAAATCACGCGGACAAAAACTAGTTGTATAATAAGAGCGCTTTCACATTTAGGCGATTTAGCAGGGCGACAAACGCACGACAGAAACGCTGCCGAAAATTTCATACTATGTGACAGCGGAATGCGGATACATGCCTTCACATTATAAAAACGCCGCTGCCGCGCTGCTGTCGCGCTTCTAAAGCCCTTAAGTGAAAGCGCTCTAAGGGCTCCGTTTTTTGCCATTTGGCTACGGAACCCTAATAAATAGATAGTCTAATGACTGTCCACTCACCCCAAGCGAGGCAGAACATCAGTATGGTGGCGCAGACCAGCATGCCGACCACCAGGTAGCTCCAGGGTCCGTACGGCTTCAGCGCAGCCGCGAACTCCATAAACGCGTTGGACTTCTGCTCGCCCTCCGATATCTTCACTGAAAGTTTCAAGTCGCCTGTTCTCAATTAATACTGCATTGCAACTATAGATCGTTTCATCCACGAAGACGCGCCCCACCATTATTTCCCCATTGTTTGAGTGTTATCCGTACACGCTAAGTTATCCATGAGTGCACACGCACTCTACAATAATGACGCTCGGATTGCTCGGATCAAACTCCCCGCATCAGGAGTTGCCCCGACCAAAAATTGGTGGGGCGCGTCTTCGTGGATGAAACGATCTTTAAGTGGTGTTGTAACTGTATATTAATGAAAATCTTCCAAGTGACCATTATGCTTGGAATATAGTAAATTAATCTGCTTCATAAATCACAATGCGTGCTAATAAAGTCCCGTATAGGTGAAGTTGATGGTTCCAATTGAGTCAATGTGTCAAGTGAACATCTTGTTTAGAATTTAAATTAATCTGCATCATCCGTAGTGCTAACAAAGTCCCTGGTAGCTTGGTTGATCCCTTATTCTGTCTGATAAACTACTGATATTTTTTTTGGTTTCAAAAACCTTTAAAATACCTAACCAAATTAGCATATAAAGGCACAGGTAACATGGGACTCTTCATTTGACAATAAGATTGTGGTAAGACCGCAGCGACTTAAACAAGCAGCTAATGTTTTACAATCGAAAGCTAAGCTGGAGCGAAGACACATTACTTCATACAGCCCGATCAAGCTAACTGCGCATCTCGCTCGAATGGAATGCGATTCTCCCTTACACTCACGCGCACACCTCTCCGCGTTCGCCCCACCCGTGCCAGAGCGTTTGATGTGACGTCACGGCTGCCAGGTTGGCAGTTAACTCGATCGGATTGTGGTATTAAGGCTGCAGGCTGCATCACTACATAACATGCATTTAAATGGTGTTATGGTTATGAAGCAGTCACCACATTCCACAAAACTCTCTCATCTAGTAAATCAAAACACTCACTTATAACCGACGGCTTCGTCATAGTATCAGGTTCGTCCAGTCCCAACAGCTCCTGGTTCCTCGCAGCGAACCTCCTCAGCAGTTCCAGGAGTGGCGGGTCCCTTCTATGGGAACAGGCGCTGGCGTCCTCATCCTCGCCGCCTGGACAGTGCCTCACTCCATCGCAGACGAGGTACGAGGATATGCAGAGGCTGGTGTCACCGCATATAAATTGGGAGTCGTTGTTGCAGACTGAGCCTGTAAAGTGTTAAGGTTACACTTAGCAAAATATTTACCATAGAATAGAGAGATACCAACTAAAGCTAAGCGTCCACTTTTCGGTATCGTACGCAACGGACGCATCGTACGAAACACATCGTATCGGATGTGCGATGCGTACGATGCGGACAGGTGGACGCACTTATATGAGTTTCCATATAAATAATACTACGATCCGTTGCGTGCGATACGTCCGATACGTACGATACCGACATGTGGACGCTAGCCTTTAAAAATTCACACGCACAAAGTAATCAAAATATGTGCTCAATACACACTGCGGTATCAGTAATCAATGTTCGAATAATCTTTAGTACTACGCAAGCAATGTAAACTGTTTAAATTATGACGTCGCTGCTATCATCATTGCTGACACGATCTCGAGCAATGTGTTCTGTTTTTGGGCATATTGCTGCGACACCAACCCCGCCCCCTTGTCACATCTCCCTTTAGTTTCTGTGATCTGTGATATTTACCTTTTACACTTTATCTTAAAGATAATTCACAGTTAACTAACATACCAACTAACTAATTGTAAATAATAAATATTTTTAATTGTAGAAGAGCTAATTAATTATTATCTGCGTAGGTATGAGAAACATAAATTCCCCCGTATCTTTACGGCTTCTGGAGAAGGGGAGATACTTTTATTAGACAAAAAATTATTAGTAAACCTTGTCACTTTCTTTGTCGATATCCAAAATACCTACTTTAGAAAACGCTATAATGAGTGCCATAGTCTAATACTTAAGCATAATTATAATACTTAAGTATAATTCTTATCAAATAAGTAAAATAGGTACTCCTAGCTAGACAAAGGGTCTACCAAGAATTACCAAAACGTGCGATTTGGGAGTCCTGCCCACACATACTGCGTCTTCCAAGGTTGCCACTAGAGGACTTTTCTTGCCTTAACCACAGAATAATACTCCTTAACGACTATTAGTTCTAGGAGATATGCCCTTCCTATTATACCACTTAAATTTGGCAATCGTACAGGCTATGTCGTTTACTTTGATTCGAACTCCTCCTATGTTCTTCTGATTAATTTCGTTACGAGTCCAATGACATTAACTCCCCCGGGACCAACTTGACCTGCACTGGTTGGGTTTTTATTGGCGGTCAAGCTGTAGATCCTGGCTACAAAGGAGTTGCAGCGGTGGGAACGAGAGGTGGGAATAGTCCCGATAAGTAGGATCACAGCGAATTTTATGCTTACCACTATTGATAGCAGTGACCACCAGCCGTAGCTTCTCAGTATGCTGATACGGCGTGGTGGGCGGGTTCCACACCACGCGTATCTTGGGCGGCAGCAGCTTGGTGCCGGTCCTCGCGGCGACCGCAGCAGCGTTCCCGCCACACAGCGACATCGGCCATATTGGAGTTTTGGCGTCGCCGATGTACTGTGAATGAAGAAGCATTTATGAGGTCACTGGAAACATTTGAAGGTTTAATATTATGAAGAGTTTTAGTGATTGATTTGAATCTCTAATATCAAAGATTAAGCTACGAGGAATGCTAGAAAACAGCGCTACTGTCCCCTGGACAAGTGCTCCAAAAACGAATTCCTTAGCGGAGCGAAGTAAATCCATGGGTACAAAAAATACGCCGGAGCAACCTTTTGACATTCCAATTTTTATCAATTATGCCACTTGCCTAGGACTAGCTGGTCAGTACCAAACAACTCTAGTTGTTTTTCTGCCTCAGATTCAAGGATTAGGTCAGCGTGTATAAAGTAGGTAAGTAGCTATTTAACCCCAATTAACCGCATGATGGGAAACTCGATAACAAATACAATTAGACAATTATCTCCAACAATTGCCTAAGACATGCTTGCGCAGTTTACAGAGCAGCCCGTGTATGTCTTGTAGCTTCATTATGACTTATTTTCTTCTGTTTAATTTTATCGCGAGTCCAATGACATTTAAATTTAATTCCCATAAGAAAACTAACTTAATCGCGCTACCGTCGGGGCTTGCGCCTGTTTATGTAAGGTGTCAATCAAACACGAGATCCAGATCAAGACTGATTTATTGAGACCAAAAGTCTACCCCCAATACATGCATAGTTTTGTATTCACAAATACCGACAACCCCCTTTTTTAAATAAAATAAAAAATCAAATTGAACTAGATACATGCAAGATATAATAATATAGGTAGGTAATTAATATTTGACCTAAGAGTACATTTGACTTAAATCTAGTTGTTTATTTATATTAACTTAATTTCATCATTATACATTAAAAAAGTTATAGAATTATAATTCAATAAATTAATTTCCATTTTCTAATATAATGGAAAGTTTGTTATAATATTTTATGACCAGCATAAATTGTTATAATTTTAAACTACATAGAAATAAAGTAATACATAATTGAATTTTCCATGCTTACCTATTATAACAATATCATTAAATTTGAACATTATGAACTATTTTAACGCAATTTTATTTTGTATATTTGCTTTGAGTATTATGTATTCAGTAAGATAAAAATACAATTTATTAAATATTTTATTTTTTGTTAATTTGTGTTTTAANCACAAATGCAAATGGCGGGGGTGGAGGCAACACTGATTCCATCTTCTTTTGTTTTATTTAGAGCTCACAATTACTACGAGTACGATGCGTTTTAAATCCAATAGTTTTATAAATTAACTACGCACACTTGACGTAACTCAAAAGGACAAATTATTTTAGATTTTCACTACCGGCTGCGCCATGTTTATGTAAGGTGTCAATCAAACACGAGATCCAGATCAAGACTGATTTATTGAGACCAAAAGTCTACCCCCAATACATGCATAGTTTTGTATTCACAAATACCGACAGCGCCCTTCGCCTTAGACGTTGGACCTACCACGCCTTACATGGGGCTGTCAGGATCAGCTGAGACAACAGCAAATCCCGCTCAATGGGTCCTGACTACCTCTGCAAGTACCTACTCATCACCAACATCATTATTTTAGGAATAGGACGCCCACCGCTGAACATAGTCCATTGTCCATAGAAAGAGACCAGATTGAACTTCATATTGGATGTTTGGAAGCGGCTTGCATCCAGCACCTTTCTGCAACCTTTTTAAACGCAGCTGCCTTTTCCTCCTCCTCTTAGTACTCACCACAAGCAGTTTACAAGCATCCGTGGCGTGGCATTTCCCAATTATTTCCAGATTTACCTGCATCAAACTCCTTCCAAAAAGATCGTCTGTCCTCCCAATAGTCTTAGTACTCACCACAAGCAGTTTGCAAACGTCCGTAGCGTTGGTGGCGGGCGCTGTATTGTCAGGCGCGGTGTCCTGCGTGTGCGCAGCGCGTGCGCCCCACTTGCGAGCACCCGCTATGGGAGTTGGTGCTTGAAGCGATGCGTAGCCGCGCTCCCAGTCTGCTAACGACTCCTGGAATAAGATAAATTGTATGGATAAGTAAGTGGTTTTTAAAAATATTTGTCGGGTCTTGTAAGTTTATCAAATTTTACTTTATTGTCATATTCTCCAAGAAACAGGATAGGTGATACCAAATCATCATCCGAAACCGATAGACATTGACTTTAACCTGAATGGTAATTTAAAATCAAAAGCTCTGCCTAATATTATAAGCTCCAGACACCAAACATGTAACATTTTCTTCTTCCTTGCTTCCTTCCTTAAAATACAAACATAGTTCATAATCATTATCATTTACCTACCTACACGTGTGCGTCAAAGCAAACAGTGAAATCTGAACACAGACACAATGCAAGTAAAACGCAACAAGGACGAGCGAAAAAAAACAGTGTTGAGAGGATGTTATCATGTCAGAAATACCTAGACAGACGTAAAGGGCTCATCAACATTAACATTCAGGTCATCGACTTTACATTTCAATGGCAAAAGAAACGAAGTCACAACTATTTCTAGATCTACTAATATTATAAAGTTTGTTTTTTTCTTTTTGCTTGAACGCGCTTATTTCAAGATTTACTGGTCCAATTTGAAAAATTATTTGTATTAATAGCCCATTTATCGACGAATTCTTTAGGCTTTAGATAACATTACCCTGCAGCCAATTCAAATATGTAGTTCATTCAGTACATAGACCCTTTCGAGGGCACTTATACAATAGGGGGCAGAGCAGTAAAGAAAAATGTTGCAAAAACGGGAAATATGATTCAAACTATTTTCACGCGAACGAAGTCGCGGGCACAGCTAGATTTTAATGGTCCTGTTAACGGTGGATATCTATTTCTAGATCTTTGTCCTATTAACAGCATACTATAGGTACTGCTCATACTGACAAACCTTAAAAGAATAACAATGATGGTTCCACAATTCAATGTATTGGCAGTGTTGGCTAGCTGCCATGATGTCGAAGTCGATACAGTTATAAAGATTGGATGGAAACCATTTATTAATGGCTTTCACAAAATAGAATCATACAAATAACTGAACGTTAACCTTATTTTAATGAGTGCCTAAATAAATCAAAAGTTACTTGGTAACAATTCAAATTCATACACGAATTTCTCGAATGCTTTTGACTCATAGGTAACGTAAATATTTTGCTATTACAATGAAGAGAACTTTCCTACTTTACCTAGCCTGCATTTAACTGTAACAAATTGAACGTCACTGAATATTTGCCAACGTCTAGAACAATATTTGCAGTTCTCATTATTACGTAGAATTAGAGAATATTTATTGTTTTTGTTGATGTCCATGGATATTGCAAATCGAATTGCTGCCCCAGTAACATTAATAATTCTCTTTGAGGATCTTAATAACTGAAAGTTAAATAATAAAAGATTTTGAAATTTTCGTCTCCAAAGTAATCTCCAAATAATTCAGTGTCTTAGATAATCCAGAAACGGACAACAATGACTCTAAAAGGTACAAAACAACTGGAAGATTGTCCAAAAATGGATCCTAACATTATTTTCAACCTTGCATCCTTGGACTGCTCAGAGAAAAAGATCACAAATAAATATTTGTAAGGTAAAATCGTCACCTTCAGACGTACGTCAGAGAGCGTCAACAAAAACTTGTTTTGTGCGCTGGCGCAGTTCTTGGTGTAATGGCCAGTAATCACATTAGTTCAAATTGTACCACAGCGTGACGTGACTCATGTTTATATGTAGATATCATATCCGAGAAATTACGTCACAGATACGATTGATGGATGTAAAGCCTACTTGGCTGTCCTTGGTATTGGCAAACGTGGCAACTTCGAGTTCAAATTACAAAACAATGTTCAAACCTAAAACTCATCATCATCATCATCATTTCAGCCACTGCTGAACATAGGCCTTAACCAATGACTTCCACATCGCACGGTAGGTAGCTGCCTGCATCCAGCGCCATCCTGCTACCTTTAGCAGGTAGTCGGTCCACCTTGTGGCCTTCACTCCAGAAACTCAATCTCAGCTGGTCTAAATATTGAATCTAGCCTCAATCTACCACCTACAAAGGCGAATGCAGCTAAGATCATATTCAAAATCTATCAATATCTAGCTATCAGGAATTCAGGAGCAATATAAAAAGAACTAGCTTTTGCCCGCGGCTTCACCCGCGTGATATTTTGTTTGTCACAGATCATAAATTATAGCCTATACGTTATTCTGGGTTATAAACAATAATACTGTAAAGTTTCATCAATATCCGTTCAGTAGATTTTGCGTGAAAGAGTAACAAACATCCAGATATCCTGACATCCAAACTTTTGCATTTATAATATTAGTAGGATAACTTCATGTTACGCCTCATTGCAAGTCAAAAATGACTTTGGCTCTCAAGACCTTATTTGCATCAAACAAAAATTATGAAGTAACTATGTTAATGAAGACAAATGACGAACGTTTCACGCTAAAACTTCCTTATAATCTAAGAAGTGCTTAAACTTAAGCGAGAAGACTAATGGGACAATAGATTAGTCCGCCATTTTTGGTGTTTATTCTTTTGTTTTTGAAAGAGGAAACTGCCCAAAAATTATACAGAAATATCTGTTAAGCCATAGAAAATCTTATTAAATAAATGCATATTTTTAACAATTCATTAATATTTATAGCCATAATACTGTAACAAAACGTATAGCTGACTCATATTATGAGTCAAATCCAAATCTCGTTAAATCCATAAATGTAGTTCGATGTTGTGAAAAGGTTAATTACAAAATTCGATAAAATAAAATTGCCAGCATACCAAACGTATTTCCAAGTATCAGTTTTCCTCTATTGGCTTAATACTTTTTACTAATGATGAAAAACATCTTCAGATTTGCGACTTTCGATACTTTAGAGTCATTAAGACCATTTATTTCTTGACTCTATAACAGCTTCAAGTAAAAGCTGTTGTCGTTCAATAGGGTAGGTAATAAAGACAATTGATACGAGTGTTAACAATTTAATCTTCGGTATTGCACTCAATTGATGAAACGGTCTTTTAATCAGTTAAATGTCCTGTAGGGTTCAATTTTATTAGCATTTACTGTGAACAGCTTAATTGAACCGTTAGTTTTAAGGTTAACTTTAACTTTAAATTCGCCAGACATAATAAATCGTTTACATAGACTTCCCTGCACAAAAAAAAACTAAACCAGCCATTAAAATTCAAACTGAATAAAATTACTTCGAAAATGTCAACCGAGCCAAAATATATTTCCTGGCAAGCCTTATAAAACTAGATTTGAATTCAGAAAACAAAGACTCACAAGGACCTTGAGGTCCCATGAAAAATCGTGTGTCATTCATGAAGTAACATTTAAAAATATTCAAATCACAATATTAAGCTTGCAAAGATGTTTCTTCAACATACATATAATTTATTGTTTTCTGTGACTTTACTTAGCTGGTTTATTAATAAATGCGCTAGAGCCTAGAATGTAATCCCTACGATAAAATCATAATTTCAAATTTTACTTGTTTACAGATCAAGATAGGTTATATCGCGTCGCCATGCGAGTCCTGCAAAATTAATTTTTACACGCGTTCTACGAAGCGTGGGCACAGCTTGCTGATGATAATGCGATTAAAAGTATACCGAAGATCTAAAAATAATAGGGGCTTAAGAAATAAATAAATCGTTATTATTATTATCTGCGATTATCGTGAGAGCTTATCTAATTTAGACTTTTTAAGCGCCTTAACTCTCTCAGTGAGTCTACATACCAAACTACTAGCCAGATATATTGATAAAAATTGACTTTCGCACCTTCTTCTTCGCCGTTTCCTTTGTTTGAAGTGTGGGGAGTGCACTTAAATAACTCTTTTTCATCAACGTTTGGATTAGTTCTTGGAGGATGCAGTGCGTGAACACATTTACCTGCATCGACAAACAATTAAGGAAACCATATTATTTTATAAACGCACACGATCAGTTGGTATTCTGCACATGCAAGGCCTCCGATTAAATACAGAATCGATTTGCTATTCACATCTTTAAAGAAGAAAGGTCACGCCCCATACAAAAAAAACCCAGACCCGACAGAAACGAGACATATCTCAGTTTTTTTGTCATGTATTAATTAGTCAAATTATATATTTTTTATATTCGAAATCTATGTATAACACCAAAATATTACCCTTTGTTTTTGTTCAGGCGTTATACAAAAACTAATACAAAATGCCTATTTATCACCAAAATTGGTAAATGTATGTCCCTAAATGTCTATTACAGCTGCTATGGAATGTATCTAGGTGACCTGGAGATACAGCCGGATTATACAACAAAGAACTCATCATCATCATCATTTTAGCTTCAAAATCCAAAAATAGAGACAAAAAAACTCATTGGATTTTCCCCATATTTGGGGAATTTACTATGTATAATGGAGTAGATATTTTTAAAGGACGCCAATGATATAAACACCCGTATAGTTTCTGAGTCTGACCATGTCAAAAGTCTAATCAATCTCACCTCACACAAGAGGTATCATGTCAGTATATCAACCATCTTGCAAAACACAAGGTAATTAATTTGCCCAGGTGAAAAATTGGCAACGTTTTAAACAATGGAGTTATGAAAAATGCAACAATGTGAGTTGCCTAATATCGAAACTGGAGACAAAGAATTAATTAGTATACAATGAAGAATTTATGCCCCAGTTCTGATGACCGAACTGAACAATATGTTTGCTAAAATATTCTCTGGGAGTCTGGGAGTAGATCGAAAACGAATAAAATGGTTTTAAGATGGTTAGCGAAAATGATTGCAACAACGCAGTAAAAAAATAGCTAAGGCTGAGTTTCCACACAGTTTCCACCAGAGATGTGCGAAGATACGTAGCTAGGGATGTGTTTGTAAAGAACCAAATAAAGCGTCATTTACCGAGGCGAAGCACATCTCTGGTGGACACGCAGCCTTAGATGGTTAATTTTAAGGAATGTTTTTTGGAAGAACATAGGGACTTTTGATTATAGCAATTG